CTTCAAAATCATGTTTTGTTTTTTTGGTGTTACATTTCCATTTCTGGTATACTAAAGGATATACAAGACCAATAAAAGGTTGTGGGACTAGGTGTCCTGCACTATATATTGGATTCTTTATAAAATTTTCGTCGTGTGGCGCAGCACGTGATGTCTTTAGATGATTCGCACCATACATGGTTTTTTATTTTCGTGTATTGATATTTTGTTTTATAAATGTCCTGGTGTGCGTCTTTTATTATTTTATATAAAATATTGTTGAAATCAAAACGCGGAGCAGAGCTTGTAGTGTCTCTTTTGGTAATTATTATAGAAATTTCTTGATGATAATAAACGACTGGTATCGTTTTGCTTTTTGTATAATCAATGTTAATATTAAATATATAATTACAAGATGCCAAGGCAGGATAACTGTTGAAAAGAAACAATTCGAGAAGAAACATTTCGATATGTGACGTTTGATTATCTGAAATTGAGAAGCATTGAAGCACATATGCTACTTGAACGCTTTACAGTCATTCTCTCGTATTCCTCGTGTACACAAGGCTAATCTGACTGCACACCCCCAATGATATGATGATGCAACCAAATTCCAGGGGGGCGCGTTGCTCTGGAGTTTACCGAGATTGCTTCAACGTCAAAAATGTTTCTGCGAATTTTATCTAATCTTTTCTCACACACCTGGACTGGCGGTTACCCAGATGACTTGCAACGATCCTATATACAAATATATAAGAAAGGTTCATAGTTTTTTATACAAACAATTTCCTTATTTGTATTTCTTTGGTCAAGATTGACAAGTTTTTTCATAACGAACTGAACACAGACCTTCCATCCAAACTTAACGTTAAAAAAAAAAAAATCTGATATTTTATTGTCAAACATCCGGTCAGTGTTGTGCCATTTATGCTTCCAATAAAATTTCATTGGAGCATTCTAATAAATTCCAATTGGAATTGGAACATTCCAAATGTGGTTAACCAATAGCGTTACAATTTTCCAATTGCACAACACTGCATCCGGTCAAACACTTGGTCAGGCATCTCCTGGTCAAGCATCTCCTCAACCATCATAACACATATCTACCTACGCACAATTTAATAAAAATAGATATTAAATGAAAAATAACGCAACTATATGTGCAGATACTTTTGACTCAAAGGCAATAGTAATTGATGAAAAAGTTACCTGGAAGTAGTTTTTAAGTTAGAGGTCATTTCACATAGGCAGGCTTTTAAATTATTGTAGCACGGATCTAGATAAAGGGATCTTGATGTAAAAATTGAGAATCAAATACATTTCAATTGATTCAATTTACTGTAGAGCAGCAACAATAAGAAAAATATTAACAAAGGTGATATTGTTTTTTGGTTGAAAAAATTTCTTCATTGGAATGTAAATTTGATAACTATATAATTGGGTTAGTGTAATACATTTTATCTACTTGGGACAAAAAAGAATAAGAAAAATGCTAAATTACTTTAAATGAAAATTTTTTCTGTATAATCACAAAACGAGAACCATACATTCCTTTCTTTTATTATATGTGGAAAATCCAAAGTTTGTAATAAAAAAAAGTGATTTTATTATTGACAAAGTTTAAACTCCTGGCGAATGCATAATAAAGTCAGCTAATTGATATATTAAACCCGCAAAGTGTCTAAATATCCTCCTCAAATTTTTAAATTAATATTTATTTAATATTGACGATTTAAATCTGTTAATTAGTGCCACTATCTCCGAGCAAGGCTTGAGTACTGTTGAATAGGTTCCTTTTTTACGAACCGTTAAAATAAAACAAGAGTTGAAAGAGAAGTTGTGATATTCGTGGATATATCTTAAATAAGCACCTATTGTTCACAGTTCTAAATTCTTTTTTTCACTCTGCAACAATAAAAGATCCCTTCTCGCTTATATGTCTTCATGGCACTGTTAATTGATAATAGCTTCATATTAATTATCGTTTAATAATTGCCCCTGGTTTCTTATTCTTGTTATTTACACAACAAACAAGTTTTAAATTCAAGTCCTCCTCCAATTGGTTATCAAACAATTGTTATGTCTAGCTACAAAAAGATTAACAAGCCAGGAAGGGGTCGTTACTGAGAGATTTTGATTGCTGACAAAGAAAGTGGCGATTGGAACAGTCCATTCATACCAATAACATTCTTTTTTTTTGTTCTTTAGATCGGTCATTCTCGAATATTTGCCATTAATGTTAGCCTTTTTTTCTTTCGTAAACATCCATCCGGGTATCTTAAATACATTTCCGCCAGGCCCCATGTGTGAATTATTTGGATGGCATGTTCACTTACCCCTTACATTTCACTATTACTATAACAAGAGCTTACGTGGGAACAAATTTCAAAACAAAAGTTTACCATTTTATATAAACTACCTCGGTTTTTACTTTACCTTATTGACGCGTCATTTATTATAAATTATTATTGTTATAATAATGGAAGATTTAAATCGAGGAATTAAACATTTGGTATTTACCTATTTGATTTCTAGAGCCAACTGATTGATTTATTTTTCTAAAAAAAAAATAATTCATAAATACATATATATGTATAGCAAGTTAAACCAAAAGGTAAAAGAAAACTTGAAAACGAATTGGATCTCCCGTCCGAAGTTAGTTTTTTTAATATATTAATATGGACATGGACTTCTAATTAATTAATTTAATCAATTACTTTTATCATATATATAATATTTAGGAAAAATACATCTCTAAAGATCAAGCCAATAAGGTTGATCGAGCACTTTATGAGATTTTTGAAAACACTAATGAAAAAGTAAAAGTTCACTTATACAACAACAATAATGGCAATTCATGATTTATCTTTTATCTAAATTAAAATTTATCAAAAAATTATAAATAGAAAATATTACAAGGCGTCCACTTGTTAGTAATAGGTGGCCCAACTGGCACCTCAAAAACGTCAACAATAAAATATGTCTGTAAAAAAAGAAATTATCATATTGTTGATTGGACGGAATTTCAAAATAGTGAAGGTAATGAACAAATTAAGGTTTCTTTATAACAACATTTTTAAATTTAAATCCATACTTATCATCATCATCATCATCATCATTATTGTCACAATTTTGTTTTTTAAAAAAAAAAAAGAATTTGAATCGGTTTTTGATGGCCTTTCAACATTTTTTACATATTTCAGTAGAAGGATAGAAAATCAAGCTCTCAAAAATGGATGCACAAAACAAATATTGCTTTTTGATGATTTGTCAGCCTTCACTCATAATTATTCAAACAAAATTTTTAATGAAGTAATAGAAGTTTACTTAGATAGTAAAACTGTAAAATTTCCTATAGTATTCATAATCACGGACGTTCGAATCAATGATACTGGCAATGATTATACAGGCAAACAGGACAAGTTTAAAGATATCAATATGAGAACTTTTTTCACACCAAATATTCTTAGGTCAGAAAAATCCAAGTGCATCGAGTAAGTAGTGATAATGATTTAATTTGGAGCTGCAATCATAATTCATATTCGATACATTCACTAAATTGTTTGATTGTTTGTTTGTTTGTTTTTTATAATTGAACTTTTTATTATATTTTTAGATTTCCTGCTGTGCCAACATACTTGATGATAGATGCTCTTCAAAAATATGCCAATAATGAATATAGAAACGACCAACAAAAAAGGCTGGCATCGCTGCAGTTAATTCCTTTAGTTGAAAAAAGGTCAAATGGTGATCTGAGGGGAGCGATTAATCTTTTGGAATCTTTCCTCATACAAATACCCAAAGAAGTGAAGGAAGAAATAATTGCAGCTCAAATGATAGGGATTGCACAAGGAGTGTATGATCACGCATTACCTTATTTATTCCAAAGGGAACAATTCGGTCAACTTATTGGCAACTTTCAGGTAAAGATAATAAAAATATAGATGGATAAAAAGAATTTGGTTGATATTAATAAAATCACCACTGAATACGACGTATATATATATTCCTCTCTCTCTTTCTTTTTATCTTTAATAGGGAATGCAAATGCAATATGCACAAAGTTGGTATTATTTAACAAATGTAACAATGACGATTATTATTATTTAAATTATATAATTTTGTTATTAAATTATAATTACATGGTGCATGCGCACACATATATATTTCATCTAGTTGCAACTGAAATCGAGGCTGCCAGATTGCTAACATATAATGCGGCTAGAATGAAACAAGAAGGAAAAGCCTTTATTAAAGAAGCTGCAATGGCTAAATTGTATTCTTCTCAAATAGCAGAAAAGGTTTACAATTTTTTATATAGATTTGATTTTTCTTGATTTTTTAAAAAAATAAAATTTTTTAATCTTTTACTATGGTGTGTTTGTTATATCATGATAATTTCTTTAATGTTATTTTATGTTAAATTAGGCTGCGTCTAAATCTATCGAGTGGATGGGTGGTGTTGGATTTACTACAGAATTTCCAGGTAGTTTAAAGTTTTTTTTTTACTAAAATGTAATTATAAAAATTATTTAATAATTTTTAAATAACTTTTTCTTATATGTATATATGTTATAGTTGAGAAGTATTACAGAGATGCAAAAATAGGTAAATACTCACAATATTTATTTATTTCAATCACTCAATCATTTATTTATTCAATCATTTATTTATATTAACATTTTGGTTTTAAAAGGTGCAATTTATGAGGGAACCTCAAACATTCAATTAATCACAATCGCCAAAGAAATTAAAAAGAAATATACATCATAAAAAAAGGTATTGATAATATATATTTTTTTTATAAAAAAAATGATATAAATCTTTTTTCCAAACTTGTTTCAACATTTCTTTTTTCTTTTATTTATATTTAATATTATAATAGGATAATAAATTTAATAAATTTTAGACAAATATATATATTTTTATGTATGTGTTATCATTCTTTATTTTCCAATTTAAATATTTATTTATTTTTTCCAATTTACCTTTAAATAATCAAGATCATAGCTAAGCAAATGTAGTACATCATGTGTGTATCAATCTATCAATATTAAGTTTTCTTAAATGAATGAAAAGTAATTATTTTTTTACACCAATTGATTGATTACATGTGGTATTGAAATTATTAAATCTCCCAAATTTTGATGTACTTTTGTTAATGGTTTAGGTAGGATTCCTGGTGTGAAATTGCCTAAATTAATTATTGATTTATTATTTAATGATTTATCTCTATTAGATCAAAAGGAAACGAACGATAAAACATCAGTTGAAACTTAATTTTTTTGATATATTTATTTTTTGTAAATGTTCTAATTTTGAAAACTTTACGTAAGATTGATTTGAATCGTTATTATAATTGACATGATTATTCAACAACAACAACAACAATATGATGATGACGATGATTAGAAAGTTTCAGTCCCAAATTTTTGTTTTTTTTTTACCAATATGGTGGCAATTACTGCAATTTTAATTTTAGATACATTATAAAACGTTGGTAGTGCGCATCAAAATATTTATTTAAATATATAAGATAATATTGTTCTTATCAATAATTACATTTTGATAAAGACGTGTATTAAATGATAAATTATAGATGAATGAATATAAACATATATATAATAATTTGTTGTTGTAAAAAAAATTATCCACTATTACCCATGAATTAATTACATATACATATTGAATTTTATAATTAAAAAGATCAATGTTTTTGATAAAATGATAATTCATCAATCAATTTCTTTTGCACTAAGTAAATAAAAATTTATTAGTATTATTATTATTATTATTATTATTATTATTATTATTATTATTTAATAATAATTAAATATATCATACAATAAAATTTATGACACCTACAACTGTTATATTTTGAAGCAATATCTTTCTTTTTTACAATGTGTTTGAGATATGGGACATACTCTAATTGCCATATTTGGTCATTCTTAACTTTTTAAATAAAATACGTATATATTATAAATATAATCTAAATATAAACATAGATACAAGATATATAAACAAATGATTGATCAATCCACCTCTGTGTTCCTTTTTATAAGTCGCGTTTAATATTTCTTGATATTCCATATGTTTTTGACGTTGAATTCCAAATGTATCAAAGTATGGAGATCTTTTAAATCCTGAAAAAGAACGATTTAATGGTACTTTCTGTATATGTGCAAAATATAAGCTTCTGGTTGCATACAAAACAGCACACGATTTTAAGGTTTCAGAATTCTAGATGAGAATATTATATTTTGCATAAAACAATAAATATGTAAATACATGCACACAGATATATATACACATAAATAGATAGACCATTCATTACTAACCATTATCTCGCCATTTTTAATTAAACAATCAGATCTACTTAACCTCTCAGCTGCAAATGCTAATTCTGATATATTACCAAAAGAATTTATATAATTGTTTTGCAATAAATCAAGGTAGAAGTCAGAGTCGGTATCAAGATTATCTAAAAAAACCTATATAAGAATAAAGATAAGTTTGTTATAATAATAGAATGCAAGATTGTGAAAAGTTTGATAATATACTTCAGGCATTATTTGAATAGGATGTCGATCAGGCATCTCATCAGGTGCGACTTCTTTCCCCATTAACCTCCCAAGTTTGATACTTGTCTCATCACCACCAAAAACATTAGGTTCAGCTCCTATATATTTTTAATGCAAAATGGTTAAATGGGAATAATAATTGACTTTTTTTAAAAAATAGACATGTAACTTACTGAAATTGTATAATACATTTCTAACAGCAGTGTATTTGTTTGTTAAATTATCACGAGATAAAGTATTTAATGTTGTGTCGCTGATAATAATAATGATTTTTGGTCAGATGGAGCAATAGTTTATTATTATTATTATTATTATTATTATTATTATTATTATTATTATTATTATTATTATTATTATTATTATTATTAT